ATGCGTGGTAACTTGTTCCAGCAGCAATAGGAAAGTAATATATCAGGACTGTGTGTTCTATTTATCTTATCTCCACACCGCCCCACCACCCCAACAACCCACACCCACATGATACTGATACAGTTGATACTCAGCATACATGGGGCTCTGTGAACCTCAAGTGACTGGTCCCTGCCCCTGCAGAGCTCTGGGCTGGTTCGTCAGCTCCCTCACTGACCTCAGGAGTGGAATTCCCCTGCCCCACTGGCCCTCTCCCATTTCCAGTGTACGAGAGCAGAAACGGCAATGTGTGCGTCAGGGAAAGGGTGGATCGAAAGCTGTATTGTTCCTGAGCCTAGATCATGCTCACTTAATTCTTATAAGGGTCTTCTGAAAAGGCCCTATAAAATGTTGAGGATGGATTTTTATTATCATGTTTCAGCCTTCCCTCCTCAGTCTCGTGGCACAGACTCGGGTCCAAGCCCCCTCAGAGCCCCGTCCTTGCCTGCCTTTATAGTACTTCTCTTGCATCGCGCTGCCTCACTCTTATGCCCCTGGAACCCTGAATTACCCATCACCCCCACACACCTTTGATCACACTGTCCCCTCCCGTGAGAATGCCCTGGCCCTCCTCTCTGCTACCTCTCCTGGCTAAGTGCTCAGATATCATCTCCTCCAGGGAGCCCTCCCTGGCTGTTGTCAGAGTGGCCTAGGACTCCTCTGCCCATCCACAGACCTTGTGTCTGCCTCTATCACTGTTCTCATTGCTCCAGGGTTCCCTTCAGCTCTCCTCACTTTCCTCCTCTGCCCACAGAGAGGATGGAATTACCACTCAAACTCTCTCCCACCATGGCAGAGGCAGAGGGAACAATTCTCACCCCGCCCCATCCATGTCATCATGTATTTGCTCCCCACATGAGAGGGGAGAAGCTGATCTGATTAGTCAGAGCTTGGGCCTGGAGTTGAAAGGCAATGTGTGGTCACCTTATCATCTCTGCCCATCTATTAGTGGGTGATGAGGCCAGCTGGTTATTCTCTCTCTTGATTCTAGATCTTCATCCAAACATCTTTGGGAGAAGGGTATTCTTCTCAACTGCATTCTCCACTATAGCTTTTATCCAGGTAGCAATACATAAACTGGACACTGTTTTCCATCTTAATATACTCCTTCATTCAGAAACCTGGAGGAATCCTGAACCTCAAACTTCCACACTGATTCATAAATGTTTGCAAATGATACACCCTATTGTGTAGGACAGAGGACTTGTTAGCATGACTCCCAGAGACATCTGAAAAAATGACCCCTCTTCTGGATCCCAGCCTTGAATTCAAGAATGCTTTAGAACTGGGCTGTACTCACACTTAAAGTTTGAGGATGATGAATGAGGAGTTCAACCTCATCTGAGATTGGTGAGGTGTACCTGGCTCAGCTGAGGTGATCTTAGGCCTGTGTACAGTTGCTCCAGTCATGGATGGGTGAATGGATAGATACATGGGTAGATCAATGGGTAAATGGGTGGATCAATGGGCGAGTGTGTAAGTGGGTAGATGGATGGGTGGATGGATAATTGGATGGATAAATCAATAGACAGTGTGGCCTGAAATGTGACATTTATGGTCCCAGAAGGTCTGATGGGACCCTCACTCATTCAGGCATTCTCACCTACAACTGTGCACCCCTTGGTAAAACTTTAGGCCAGAAATCTGTGCCTCTGTTTTAGAAAATGTTGCTAGTCTCACTGCCATATATCCTGACCGTGCTGACGTTTTCAACATCCTTTAGAAAAATAAACTCTGTCTGATTGATTCGGTAACACACGCATCTCATCTTTCTGACAACTTGTACTTACTACTGACCTAAAGATCCTCTCTGCCCCATGTCTCTGGGGCTGAGGCCATTTGTCTAGTCTCAGCCACTACTGCAGCAACGAATGCTGCTGGGCTCCAGCCAATTTCATGCACACAAACCCAACAGCACCTCATGTCCTCAGGGTAGCTGCTTGTTGCTGAACTCACTGGGTACTTACACAAGTGCAAATCACAAATGCAGAGCAGGTTAACAGCCCTCGTGACTAACATTGGACTCTGGGAAACATGAACCAGTAGACGAATTCTCATCCTTTCCTCCCTCTGCAAGGGGGAGTCTCAAGACACAGGTGTTCCTACAGTCTTTCAGAAGCGCCCTTCAAGATTAAATATTCAGTTGCACGTGATACTGAGTGGTCACTAACTCAGTGATATGCCCCCTTCCCTTTACCCCTCTTCCTTGATGCACCTCCCTCGAGCCCAGTAAAGCAGTAGCCCATGAACTTCCGCTTCCTGGGGATCCCAGGCTAACACCTATTACTAATTACTAATTATACAATATTGTTTACTATTACTAATTATACAATATTGTTTTGATTAAATATAAGGTTTTTGAAACTAATTAGAGGTCCAGCGTATTTCACATCTGCCTCCGAAACTAGACTCTAAGGTATTCATTTAGTAGAAGGTTGGGATTATTTACCTCATTCCTCTCTTACTCTTTTTCATAAAGTTAATCATGATTGGACAGTTTTCACCTTAGATACTTGAGTCTTCTGCTGTGTGTGGTTTTCAAACTCAGTACCATCTTTTTCAGAGGGGTTACTTTTTAAGCTTGTTTCCGAATTCAAAAAAACGAAAAGCAGATTCATAAAGGCCTCTGTGGTAGGTTGAAAAATGGTGCCCCCAAATATATCCATATCTTAATTCTTAGAACCTATGAATAGTACATTTGGCAAAGCATTTGCAGGTATGATTAAGTCAGGGCTTCTGAGATGAGATTATCCTGGATTATCTGGGTGCACCCTAAATGTAATCATATGCATCTTTATAAGACTGAGGAAGAGGCTGACTTCTCGATACACTAAGAAGGCAATGTGACCACAGAGCAGAGAGTTTGAAGATGTTGGCCTTGAAGATTGGAGTGATGCAGCCACAAGTCAAAGAATGCCAGTAGCCACCAGAAGCTGGAACAGGCAAAGCTCGACTTCTTCCCCAGAGCCTCTAGAGCAGGAGTCTTCAACCCCAGGCTGTGGACCAGTACCAGTCTGTGGCCTCTTAGGAACTGGGCCGCAAAGCAGGAGGTGAGAGGCAGGCAAGCAAAGCATCATCTGTATTTGCAGCCGCTCCTCAGTGCTAGCATCACCACCTTAGCTCCACCTCAGATCATCAGGCATTAGATTCTCATAGGAGCACCAGTCTCTGGTGCCAAAAAGGTTGGAGACCACTGCTCTAGAGGGATCACGGCCCTCCTAACACCTTGATTTCAGCTCAGTGATACTGATTTCAGATGTCTGGCCTCCAGATTGTGGGAGAATAAGTTTCTACTGTTTTTAAGCTACATAGTTTGCTGTAATTTGTTACAACAGCTACAAGGAACTAGTATAGCTTCTTCTTAAAAAGGGGCCCTTAGAGATCACCTCAGAGATGAGCCCTTCATGAATACAGTCTGTCTTCTTATGATGTTTCTATTTCCCAATGCCTGTTGTTAACTCATGGTTTGCTTTCTTTAAGTTGTTTCTAACAATGTTCTTAAGTTTGGTATTTAACCAAAACAGTGCATAAACAGTAATCATAAACAAGATCTCATTTTTTTGATAGAGAATATTAAGATCTAATATTCCTTTATTACAACTTTCCCATCCCCTCAACTCACTTTAAGCACAGCCCATTCAACAGGTCAATGTCTCTCAAAATAAGATCCAAGGATTGTGCTGAATCACCTGAGACACTCGTTAAGAATGTAAAGTCAAGGACTTTCCCCTAAACTTACTAAATAAAAAAATCTTATGGGTGAGGTGAAGAAATCTGCACTTTTAACGAGCCTCCCAGGTGGTTCTGAGCACACTGACTTTTGAGAAGCTCTACTACAGAAGAAAGAGGTCAGAACTGCTCCAATAATACTTCCCTCCCTGGCAGCAGTGAAGCCACTGACTCTAGGCCTCAACTTATCTGGAGAAGCCATGCTATGGCCCCCAGGACCGGATGCCTGTGATGAATGCTACACTGAGATCACAGAGGAGCCAAAATAGTCCCATCGCCTCATGCATTTATACCCAAAACAGCTGCAACAGTGTTTGGAGAGCGGGGACTACAAATGCTTTTGAGAACACGAATCACCACTAGGTGATTCATGGTCATTTAACTTTTTAATTAAAAAGAACTTCACTAACAATAATAGCTCACAAATGCATGTGCCTTTTGATCTTGCAATTCCATTTTTGGGAATTTATTCTACGGAAATTCTTTACGCTTGTACATATGCACAAGATTATTTACTGCAGAACTGATTGTAATAGCAGCACAAGATTGGAAACCATCCAAATGCCATCGTTGTGGAACTGATGAAATAAATTATAGCATATTTATACAATGAAAAATAATGAGGAAGCTGTATGTGTATTGATATGGAAGTGTCTCCAAGACAGACTTTTAAGGGATAAACAGGGTGTGGAACACATGTATAATATGCTACCTTCTGTGTATAAAAGGAACTAATAAGAATCCACATTTCTATTTGCTGGTATGTTCATAAAGAAATGCTGTTACCTATGGGGCAGGAATGGGAACTGAACAGATGGGGAACAAGGATGGGAGGGAGGCTTTTCACTATACTATGATTATATTTTAGGGTTTAGAACCATATGAGTGTATTATTTATTCAAAAATAAATAAAATAAAAATGTAAATGACCATTTATTGTGGCCCTCAGAACAAGCAATCTGGTCTGATTCTCCACATCTGCAAGTCTTGGTGTCCATATGGAGCTCTTCAGATTGGGTGTGTGTGTGTCAGAGCCACAGCCATTCCAGTGTTTACCCTCCAGACCAGGATGCAGATTTCCATTGCCCAAAACAGCAGTAGGAAGACAGGACTTGAGTTTCTTACTGAGGAGAACCAGCTCCATGAAGGTTCTGGGATTTGGGTCCACTGTGCACTGGACAGCTCCATGAGAGGACGGTCCCAGGGTTGCCTAGTACCGAATGCTCAGTACTCTAGTAGTGAGGCATCAACTGCTCTCGACTCACAAGGGAGGAGTGGTGGTAGCGATCCCGAGTGGCAAAGTCCGCGTTCTCCTGGGTGAGCTGAGTCATCTCCATGTCAACCCTGGCCAGGGATGGTGCCAAAATTATCTGCTCTTGGGGGGATCTCAAGCTCCTTTGGTGAGAGAACACAGAGGGCAATCAGAAGGAAAGACCAAGTGCTAAACAATGAAGATGCATCTTCTCTGGGTAGAGAAATTATTTGCGAAAACGTCATTGTGCTTATTACTGTATGCTTGTTATTGAAGATGTATTTAAAAAACATAACTGTTGAAAGAAATATGTACAACAGTTAATGAACTAAAGTTTGTAAATATTTATGGGAAATAAGTATCGAAAAAATAAGGAGAGTGATATTTACCTTTTTTTTAGTAGAAAGTTGTACAAAGATAACCTCTCAAATGGTATAATATTGGGGCTCTATAGCTTTTCTTTGCTTTCTTGTCAAATAAATAATGAAATAGAGAGACTGGGAAATTGAGAAGAGTAGAAAGAGAAATCTGCTGTTTGGTTCATTGGAAAGAAAGTTGAATGAGGAATGATTTCCAGAGCTACGGTTGACACAATCAGCAGCTCCGAGGCAAACTGCAAAAGCTTTTGACACCAAGTAGGCCTGCAGACAAAGCACAAGTCCCAGGATGGGTTTCATTGTCACTAAAGTGTCTATATGCAGTTGGACTTGGAATAAATTGGCAAAGATAATATTAGGGATACATGAGGAAAGTGCTAGAGAGAGAAAAAAAGAAAGAAAGATCAGACCAGCAGTCAGGTATCCACAGAAGACGGATGTAGTCACAGCTCTGCTAGTAACCAACCTAGGGGCCTCAGGCAAAACTCTCCACCTCCTTGTGCCTCTATTTTCTCATCTTTCCTAGTCCCTGTCAGTTCCTACAGCCTATGGTAGGTCCTTAAGTCATACCTTAGATATGGATTGCCTCTAAGGAATTTTATTTGAAAAGAATCATCTACTGTGCAGAGTAGCAATGCTCAATTGTTTAAATAAGGAATGTATTTGATAGTTGTAAAAAAAATTTAACAAGTAGAAATATAATGTTTAAATCTGTGGTACTTGAGCAGAAAGCTTCAACTGACTCTGGCAAAATGTGCTGTTACAGAAATTCAGATCACATGACCAAGGCCTTGTAACCACTGATGAGAATATAACTGAATTAGGTCATGGTTTTCTGAGAAATGAATTAGCTTCTATAAAGACTGAATCTTCAAGGAGATTAGGAAGTGAAAAAATGCCATACCAGTCAACACACAAGTATTGCTGGCAATACATTTTTTCATTAATGCTTTTTTTTTTTAAGAGAAAACCATTGCATTCTTCTTAGTTCAGGGAAATAATATGCTTTACTTTCTAGTCTAGAGTGGCCTAAGAATTCTCACTTGGGCAGTTGCTAGGACTTCAGGAAAGAAAGTCTTCTGAAGATCAGACTAAATTTTATATGATTCTGGGCATGGTAGGTGTAACAAAGGAAGTAACCTAGCCAAATTCCTTTGCCCAAACGTACTCAACTGTATCATTATTCTTTGGTTTTTAAGAGCATCTGGGGCTATAGTTGTGAAAAAACCTCAAAACTACAAAATAGAAAAAATACCTACAAATTTCTACTTTTAATTAACTTACCATTTCTTGGTCCTTTCACCCTCCTAAATAACCGTCACAAAATATCACTCAGTAGCCACGGTGAGGCCAGCAAGTTTGATGTTAAGACTTAGCTGAGGCCTCCACCGCCCACTTCACAAGCCCACAGAGCTATAAATATCGTGGAATGGGTTCTATTCCAACCAAAGTATTGTCCTTTACTAATAATAATCTCCTTCTAATTCATTCTTCTTTCTACATAGTGCTACAGTGATCTCGGAGGTGAAGTTCTAAGAATTCAGAGTGCAACATAAGGAACAGTGACCTCCCATGGCCATGTGTAGGCTTTAAAACTGGAAATGCCTAAAAATATTCCTATAAATCAAATAGGGCCAAATACTTTCAACCATACACCGTTTCCAGCTCCAGAATCTGTAGGTAGCTCCACACAGAAGCTATTTCCACTTAACCTCTACTTTTCCTCAGGACTCGGTGGTTGGTAGGGGAAAACAGATCAACACGAGTGTTATGACCTGTCAGCCAACCTGGTGCCTCAGACTGGAAGAGAGACAGAGTGGTGACCCCATCCCTCCTATAGCTCCACACAGAACATTCAGCACAGCTTCCAAGCAGATGACAGGGCTTCTCCCCCTACATACCACCCTTCTTCCCAGCCCTTTCCCTGTTGGTTTCCATAGCCCCAGCTCCCTTTTATTCATCATCCCAAGTGCTAGCACCAAGGTTTCATTTCTTGTGCAATCTCAGCAAATTAGTAGTGCTTATAAAGAACTGTCTTAAAAAGGATTCTTGAGAGGAAGCAATGAGGAGTTATCGTTTCATGGATATGGTGTTTTTGCAAAATGAAGAGTTCTGGAGATGCATGGTGGAGATGATTTGCACAATATGAATGTATTTAAAAATGGTTTAAGATGATAAATTTTATGTTATGTGTATTTTATCACAATAAAAAAAAATGATGAAAAGAGGATTCTGAACTTATGTCTGGGATCAAAGGGAAAGGGTCCCGTAATTCATTAGCAATGTTGGCACATGGAAGGTGGAAATATTAGCAAGTGCAACCCAGACGTTTAGAATTTCAAAAACAAACCAAAGAAATGAAACCAAATAAACATTTGGTTGGGTTCTGTCTGGATTTTCCCAGCCTTCACCTTTGGCTCCTCACTGATATTGAAAGAGGGGGACTTAATTTCCCAGAGTCCTGAGGCCTTCAAAAGTGAAGAGCTAGAGGTAAACTACAAAGGCTTTGACACCTGAAATTGGCCTGAGGACAAAGTGGGTGGTACCAGAAGGGAGGAGGAAGGAAGAAAGAGATTAGGGCACTCGTGAAATCCTGCCTTCTCTAGGAGGATTTCTCCTGTTTCTAGGAAAGTTTGTTCTTTCCTTTCCCTGTGTATTTGAACATGGAAGTTCCATAGAAATCCTCCGTACTTTCACCAACACAGTCACATCAACTACCTCTGACTTGAGATGGAAGAATGCGAATCTTTTGGGCATTAATTTTGTGTATGATGATGCGTTAATGCTACTATGTCTTAGACTGTGAATTCACTGAGAATAGCTCCCTTGACTCATCACCCGGCAATCAGATTCCAAATAAAGACTCTGTTCATGATTTCTGAAGATAAGAAAGGGAGAGGAGAAGAGCCAGAGGAAGCTTCTGATGAGCTGAAGTAGAGAGCTGGATGGTGGGGGGGCGAGGTGGAGGGGTGGCAATGAGGAGCAGAGTTTGAGTTTCCCTGAGGTTCCCAATTGTCAGGGGCCCACACCACAATTCACCCAAGCCAAGCTAGGAAGGAGATGCACTTAGCACCTCCCAGGGCCCTGGACACTCATCCGCCCTGGTCCTGGGCCCAAATTAGCACAAACCTGTAGGAGGGGATCAGAAGAGATCTCATCCATCTGAAAAAGCTGAAGTTGGAGGCTGATCCTGCAGGGAATATGTATATATAAATATGGATGAAGGCTCTACATATACATCTAGAATCCTAGTTTTAATAGAATATATATCCCCCGACAGCAGCCTGCTAAGGACTTTGTACCCATATGTAGTTTCCAAAAATGTATTTCTGAACTCCAGAATCCCAAGAAAGAAACTGAATACAGTGCTATAGAGAAAAAAGCAGAAGATTTGCTAACTTCAGTCCTAGAAATTTAAAATTTTTTGATAATATTTTTTTCCGAGATTCAAACTCATGTGTTAAATACATGCTATAAAAATCCCCTCCTAGACCATACACTCTTTGAAGATAGGAAGTATGTTTTTTTCACCTTATAACACTCACAGTACAACACTCCAGGTTAGATTAGTTTGCATTTTCAATAATGATACACACACACATATACACACACATGTATAACACGTTATACTCTTTGTCTAGTTATTTTCACTCAGCATCATTACTTGAGATTTATGCATGTTAGTGCATGTATCAATAGCTCATTTTTTTTGACAAGTAGTATTCTATTGCATGGCTATACTACAATTTATTTATAGAATCACATGTTGTTGGATATTTGTATTGTTTCCAGTTTTGGGCCACTGCGAATTTAGCTATTGTGAATATTCATGTACATGTCTTTGTATGACTATATGTTTTCAATCCACCCAGGTAAATATCTGGGAGTATTTTCAGTGACTAGTTTATATAGCAGGTATGTGTTTAACTTTTTATAAACTGCCAAACTGTTTTACAAAGTGATTGTATTATTTTATATTCCCACCAGCAGTATATGATAGTTGTAGTTGCTCTACATCCTTGCCAACACTTAGCATGATCAGTATTTTTAATTTGAATCCCTCGAATAGGTATGCAGGAGTCTTATATTGTGATTTTAATTTGTATTTCCTAATGACTAATCATGTTGAGCATCTTTTCATGTACTTATTTGCCATCCATATATGTTCTTTGGTGAAATCTATGTAAAACATTGCCCCATTTTTTAAATCTTTTTGTTTGTTTTCTTGAGTTTTGAGAGTTTCTACATATTCTAGATATAAGTCCTTTATCAGATAAGTGATTTGCAAATATTATCTCACAGTCTATGGCTTGCCTTTACATTCCTTTACCTGTGTGTTTGGAAGATCAGAGTCCTTCATTTTGATGAAACCCAATTTATCAACTGTTTTCCTTCTTTTGGTGGTGCATCTAAAAAAATCTTTGCTCCATTCAGTCACAAAGGTTTTTATTCCTATATTTCCTTTTAGAAATTTATAGTTTTAGATTTTACATTTAGTTCCAGGATCCATTTTGAGTTATTTTTACATTGTATGATATGTGGAAGTTTATTTTTTGCACATGGATTTCCAATTGTTCTAGCACCATTTGTTGAAAAGACTATTTTTTCTTCCACTGAACAGCCTTTGCATCTTGTTTGAAAATCAACTGACCATAAATGTGTAGGCCGATTTCTGGACTCTCTACTCTGTCTGTTGATGTATTTGTCTATCTTGATTCCAATACCACACTGTCTTGATTATTTTAGCTTTATAATCAGCCTTGTGTAAGTACTTCAACTTTGTTCTTCTTTAACAAACTTAGTTGGGCTATTCTAGGTCCTTAGCATTTTCACATAAATGTTTTAGAATCTGCTTGCTAATTTCCATAAAAATGCAGCTGAGATTTTGATGAGGATTATATTGAATTTTTGTGGATAATTGACATCATAAGATTACTGATCTTCTAGTTCGTGAAAACAGTGTATCTCTTCATTTATTTCTTTAATTTCCTTTTTAATTTTTTCTAAGAAATGTTTTATAGTTTTCCTCTTCTAGTCTGTAAATATGATATATTACATTGAATGTTTTAAAATGTTAAACCAACCCTGAATTCCTGAGATAAACCACTTGGTTATGATATATTGTCCTTTTTATATTTTTGTAATTTTTAGTTCAATTTGTTAAAATTTTGTTACAGATTTTTGCACCTATGCTCTTGAGAGGTATTGGTGTGTTGTTTTCTGAAGAGTTTGTATAGAATTAATATTCTTCATTTCTTAATATTCTTCATTTCTTAAATGTTCGATAGGTTTCATTAACGAAGCCATCTGGACCTAGAGTTTTCATTGTGAGGTTTTTAATAACAAGTTTAATTCCTTTAATAGATGAACTAATACTTTATATTTCTTCTGGATGATTTTTCATAGATTGTATCATTCAAGGAATTTGTCCAATTTATCTAAGTTGTCATATTTATTGGCATAAAGCTTTTTAAAATAGTCATTTATTTTCTTTTCAGAATCTATAGACTCCCTAGTAATGTCATCTCTCTTACTCTTGGTATTCATCATTTTTGTCTTCTCTCCTTTTATTCTGATCAGTCTGCCTAGATGTTAGTCAATTTTATTGATATCACACAACCACCTTTTTATTTCATTGACATTCTCTATTTTTTCTATTTAATACTTTATTGATATCTACTTTGACCTTTTTTGCTTCCTTGTTTGGGTTTTTGTTTTTTGGGTTTTTTTAGTTTAATTTGCTCTTCTTTCCGTAAATTCTTAAGTTGGAAGCTGGGGTCACTGGTTTGCAACCTCTTTTCTTTTCTAATATAAGCAGTTGATGTTATAAAGTTTTAAATACTCAATTAGTTGCATCCCACAATTTTGATGTTATATTTTTATTTTCATTCAGTTCAAAATACTTTGAATTTCACTTTTTATTTATTCTCTGAACCATGAATTATTTAGCTTATTTAGTTGATTTAGCATTCTTCAGTGTTCTTAGTCATTTAGATTATTTAGTGTTCTTTAGTTTCTAAACTAAATCTGGTGATTTTCCACATATCTTTCTAATTCATTTCTAATTTACTTCCTTTTTGGTCAGAGAACATATTTTGTTTTTGAATTGATTTAAATACGTTAAATTTATTGAGACTTTTTTATGTCCTTGAAAACGGTCTATCTGTTGTTTCATGTATACTTGAAAAGAATGTATATTCTGCTGCTATTAGTAGAATGTTCTATAAACATCAACTTCACCAAATTTGTTAATATTATTTAAGTCTCTAAAGCCTAATTTTGTCTACTTGTTTTATCAATTATTGAGAGAGGTGTTGAAATCTCTGACTATAATTATGAATGTTTCTATTTCTTGTTGCAGCTCAATCAGGTTTTTCTTTATGTATTTCAAATCTCCATTTTTAAATGCATAAATTTCAAGGTTTATTATGTCTTCTTGATGATTTTTTTCTCTTTAACTTTATAAAATGGCCCTCTTTATCCCTGGTGATATTCTTTTCTCTGAAATCCACTTTATCCGATGTTATCATGTTATATCATGTTATTATGATATATATTTTTCCACCCTTTTATCTTTAACTCACTTGTGTCTTTATATTTAAAGTAGGTTACTTGTAGGCAGCATATAGTAGCATCATTTTTTAATTCAATCTGACAATGTCACCTTTTAGACCACTTAATTGGGAATATTTAGACCATTTATATTTAGTGTGACTACTGATATGGCTGGGTTTATATAAACCACCCTACTATATTTATTTTTTTGTTTGCCCCATATGTCCTTTATTATTGTTTCCTCTTTTCCTGCTTTATTTTGATTTGAACGTTTTTAAATTCAAATCTCCTTTATTGTCTTATTAGCTATAACTCTTTGTGATATTATTTTAGTGGTTGCTCTGGGGTTTGTACTACACATTTTAAACTTATTACAGTTTACCTTTAAGTGATATTATTTTGCATATATAATAGTATATTTCCATTTCTTCCCTCCTGGCCCTTGTGCTAGCATTGCAGTTAATTTTACTTCTATATGTCTTATAAATCTCACAAGTTGTTATTTCTGTATTTGTTATAATTTATGTGTATATCATATTTTTCCTCCTAGACTGTAAGCTATTTGAAAATGGGATTCATATCTGAGTCAGTGTTGGCATTTACTAGGTTCTCGAAACATGTTTCTTCAAGGAATGCTAAAAAAGAAGGGAGGTGGTGGCAAAATGGCTCTGCGGCTTACCAAGATGAAGCCCTGGACTAGTCCGACCGATGTAAAAATACACAAGGGCAGCAATACCTAGGTTAACCAGGGTATAGACCCACTGGATCACAAACATGATGAGAAGGGACCCAATAGCCTGTGGAAACAGAGTAGGAAGAGTAAGTCGCCTAATCATTTATCATGTGGTAAGTAAGCCACAGGGCTAGGACCTTAAGAAACAATAGTCCTTCTCATTAACCTCTGATCACCATAAAAGTCTGAATAATTGAAATTTACTCATTTCAAAAAACCTCACTTAAACAGATATTTGAGAAGGCACCCTCTTCCTGAAAATACCCTCTAATCAAAACTATCAATAAATAGATATTCTATCTTACCTCCTTGTTCTACTCCTCCCTGAAAGAAACAATTAGAGTGAAATTAGGTAATTTGGTATACCTACAAATTTAATGACCCAGAGATTATCAGAGATGTTTATTTATTTTACGGTAAACCACCGATCAAAATGAGTGGTGCATTTAATGTAATGTTTCCATATGTAGGCTCATCTGAATTCTAATAGAACAAGTAATTAAATCTCATTGCTCCTGGTTGAGACTTTCCTCTTTCCTCCCCTCCACCCCAACTCTGAGACCACACATGTCTCCACCTGAATTATGTCTCAAGGATAATTGAGATCAAAATGAAATTACTCACCCCCAACAGGGAGACCCAGGGGTTGCACATGCGGGCATAGAAAGAAGCAGGTCTCCTCTGGATATCTTGCTCATGGAGCCTAGACTTTAGGAAGAAATCTAAAAAATAAATAAGCCAAATCCTTGGTTACCAATTTGTAACCAACTCCTCTTCTGTTTTTATGAGCAAATACCTATGAACTCCTCTTCTCCAATTTTGTGACCCAGCCTAAGAGACAATTCCGCTTACGTCAACCATCAACTCCCTTGTGGTTTCAGTCTACTCATTCTCTTACTCTCTGATGTAACACATTTACAACCTCTCCTCTCAAAGGAGAGCTTTCATATCCTCTCATTACCAAATTTACCAACCCACTTGCATCTGAACTACTCTTCCCAAAGTTGCCAATAATTTGATCTCTTCAAATTCGATGATAAACTACCAGTCTTCATCCCATTTGGCCTTTCAGATAGCATCTGACACACGTGATCACTTCCAGCTTACAGAAACACTTTTTTCTCGTGGTTTCTAGGATGCCTCACTCTCCTAGTTTTCTTCCTATCTCACCACCCAGTTTTTCTCAGTCTCTTTTGCTGGCTTACCTCCACCTTCCAACCCCAAAATATGGGAGTATCCCCACATTCATTCATTCCTCAGCACTCTTTTATTACCCCATGTATACTCATTCCTAGGAGATCTCATCCAGTCCCATGGCTTTAAATATTATCCTTGTACTGAGGATCTCAAGTTTACACCATTCTTGACCTCTCCCTTAAACTGAGGTTTTGACTATCTAGTTGTCATCTCAATATCTCTTTACATGACTGATAAGCACCTCAAAACTTAACATAGCTAAAGCAGAAATCTAGTCCCTCCCAGTTTTCTCTACCTGAATAAATTACACCACTGTTCACTCAAATATCTAAGATTCATCCTTGACTCCTCTCTTTTCCTCACACCTACATCTATTCCATCACTAAATCCTGTTGATTCTACCATCAAAATATATTCAGAATATGACCACTCCTTACCAGCCTCATTGCTCCCATCCTAGTCTAAGCCACTGATTTACCACAGCGCTCCTATAGTAGAGCCACGGCTAGAGGCTCTCTTGCAGTTAGGCGTGGCCATGCGACTAAGTTCTCACCAATAGAATGTGAACAGAAATGGTGAGTGCCACTTCTGTACCAAAGTCTTGGAGAGAGTAGGTGTGTCTCTTCTCCATGCCCGAATTCTGAACATTGTAAGTCTATCTTGACTTTGCGAATGACAAGTTCTCAGGGGATACTAAAGTCATAAGAATGGAGGGAGCCCGAGCCCCCGAATCAATGCATGGAGAAGAAGTTCCCATTGATTTGGAACATCCTTCCTTGACTGCTAGTGCATGTAAGAAATAAAGTTCCATTGTGTTTGAGCCACTACATATTTGGTTATTTCTTATAGCAGTTTACCCTACCTTAATTAATATACCTCCAAAAGAGCTTTGGCTCCTTCTCTTACCTCTACATAATACATTCCTCACAAAGCCAGTGATCTTCTTAAAGCCTAAATCTGATCATGTCCCAGCCCTAGCTAGAACCTTCAGTGGCCTTCTATCATAGTCACCATAGCCTGCAAGGCCCTACATGGCACTGGCCTCTGCTTTCTTCACTGTTCATCTCCTACCTCTCTCTCCCTGGCTCACTCCTCTACAGTCACTGCTGGACTTCTGCTCTTCTTGGAATCTGCAAATTCAAGTCCCACTTACACCTGTATATATGCCATTTCCTCTGCCTGGAACTCTTTTCTCACATCTCTGCATGGCTCACTATATAATTCAGTTCTTCATTAAAATATCCTCTTCTCAGAGAGATCTTTTCTGACAAATCTATATGAAACAGTACTCTCTCCATACTAGTCTCTCTCTATCCTGTCACCCTACTTTGTTATTCATCATAGTACTTATCTCTTACTGACATTATAGTGTATATTTGTTAGCTTGTTTGTTATAATTTCCCCTACTAGAATGCAAGCTCAATGACAGCAGAGATCTTTTATACCTATTCAGCATGTTCCCCCAGCACCTAGAACAGTGCTTAGAATGTAGTAAATGTTCTATACATGTGGTTAAATGAATGGACAAACCATTCTAGCCCCCAGAAAAGTCTTCACCCTCTCAACATCTGTCTTCTTTCATCAAGTGCTGCCAACTATTATACTTATCTTTTATATTTCCATACCTTGAAGGCAAAGACTGTCTTTTATATCTCTAAATATCAAATCTAAACATTTAGAAGTTTGTGTATGGGAAGTATTCAATAAATGTCTCCTTATTACTGTGGATTAAAATAAACTCTGTCAAGGTTTATGATTGATTTGAATTGAAGGCTCTATTACTTTTTTTTTTAAAGAAGGAATACTGTTATGATTCCATTAATTAAATTGTTTAATTTTTACATGCTCAATGCATGATTCATCTTTTCGATCAAATATAGTTGCACCCTTAACTATTAAGAAGGAACACTGTTGGTTAAAGATTTAGATTTTTTGCCTCTCTGAGATTTGTCAAATGTTAAGCTCACCCTTTCACACTTGATCTTGATCTTGCACAACTTCAATTACACTTCAAGGGAACCGTGTAGTGAGTGTGTTTGTGTATTTTCTGAGGAACTTGGGATAAAGTCGTTAGGAAGAGATGTGTCCTTCAAGCAAGCACAATGCAGTTTTATATGTCAGCAATGTGAGGGAGAATTCATGCAAGGATGCTCAATGACTTTGATTAAGTATGACAATATAGGCAGACAATATGGTTTCAAAACCTTTCCAAATGACTGAAGGAATTTTTTTCTCTTGTCAAGGATTTTACTGGAAGAAAAATGTTTTATAGATTACTGGTGAAAGAGGACAGTTTCTCACATTAGAAATTCTAAAGTAATGACCAAAAAGCAACTTTATTTTCCAAGTCTTAGTTGCAAAATGAACAAATGAGGAAACAAAACCACATATCAGGCATGTTAAAAATATCAACTATAATAAACATAATGCATAATATTAAATTGTTCTTTGAAATATAATGGTATGTCTAACAAATTCTATATTCACAAAGCCCATGCAGATATAATCACTTTAAGCATGAAGGATGAAAACAATTGTGTCAATTTTAAAAATCATAAACTTAACAAATTTTATAGAAATTACTTAAAATAAATATTAAACCATCTGCAAATGCATTCCATCTTTATCAAAATAAATAAACACACAGTTTTAGTTGTGACGTACAAACTGAGAATGTGCATTGATAGTCCACAAAGGATCATGTTTCAAGTTTATGTGGTCTTTTATTATGCTGATAATGCAATTCTTTTAACTGCTTTCCAAATGCTGTACATTTATTTCTAACTTGATTATACAGTTCCCCAAAAAAGATTTACTAAGTCAAGGCACTTTTATATTTCTTGTTACATCTTGAAAGATCATTATCCAGAAAGAATGAGCCAGAGGGACTTTTAGCTATGGCATGTGAAAAGGTCAGTGAATCCTTTCCGCAAGAAATAAGTGTACGGCTAGACAAAATAATCAAAACCAATCACTCAGGGCTCCAGAAATTTACCAAATGGGAACAACAAATTAAGAAGTGTTTCTTTTCAAAAACTGTTGAAGCTGAGGGTAAGAACAGTAAGAGTCTATGCCCTTCTTGCCTGGGCTGCTCCCATCCTCACCCTAGTTCTTACCAGCATGGAGCTGGTCACACACCAGAAGTCTTGCTGTCAGAGGGGGCAAATTTGTTGGTTATGCCTTTATAAGCTAAATGTGATGTGCACAGTAGAAAATGGGGACAATCCTCAGTTTTGCTAGCCTAAGGTTGTGGACTCACCTAGGGGGAGCAGCGGATCAGCCAGAAATTTAATCGGAAGATCCTTGAAATGAGAGAGCCATAGAAGAACTATAGCTTCTCGAATTTCCCTGGCTGACTGGAAAACTATGCCCATGCCTGGGGAGACCCAAGAGAGACTGGGGAGACTGGAGAACTAGCTGCAACTTTGACTGTTTTTCTCAACCCACACACAGATCCACTGGAAGGGGGTGGAAGCCTTATGGGCTATGAAGCCAGACTAAAAATTAAAAATAAGAATAAAAACTGAGTAAAGACATCAGGAGCTACAAACCACAGGGGAAACTGATTCCACAGTTCAAATACAGCAATTTACTAAAACAAACTAATAAAAACTCATAAACATACATCAGAATTAGGAGTTGCCACAATATGTTATCTAAATTGTCCAGTTTTCAACCAAAAATTACAAGACATGCAAAGAAATAGGAAATCGTGACCCATGCTTGGGGAAAAAGGCAATCAAAAGAAACTGACTCAGAATGGGCCAACGTGTTGAGTTTAGCAGACAAAGACTCAAAGCAGCTAGTATAATAAATCTGTTCAAAGAATTAAATAAAAACACAATGTGAGTGACTTAAGCAAAATATGACAATGACTTTCAAAATAGGGAATATCAATAGAGACAAACTACAAAAAAGAACCAGATGAAAATTCTAGAGTTGAGATGGCAGAAGAAAGAATCAATGAACCTAAGGATAGATCAATAGAATGTATCCAGACTGAAGAACAGAAAGGAATAGGTGGAAGAAAAAGAAACTGCGCCTCAGAGACCTGGAAACAATGTCAAGTGTACCAATTAGTATGTAATATGAGTCCCATAAGGACAGGAAAGAGCAGAAAAAAATATTTGAAAAAATAATGGCTAAAACCTGGTAAATTTGATGAAAATCTTTTATCAACAGATCCAGAAGGAATGAATTCATTGACATTGCTTCCAGCAATATGTACATATACCTGATTACCAAAGACATACTACTCTTTATTTAAATTTTTGACAGCTTAATAGATACACAATGATATCTTAAAGGTGGTTTAATTTGTGTTCATTTAATTAATACCATGGCCTAGTTCATAAAACATACTGACAGCAAGCAGTATACACTTTGTGTAGTGGTTAAGAACACTGGTTCTAAAGTGAGACAGACTTGAGTTTAAATTTTAGTTGGTTCATATCTTGAGCAAGTGTTGAACTTCTCTAAGCCTCTGTAAAAAGATGTGTAATGCTGAGCTTAGATGAGCTAATCTGTGTAAGTCCTCTCGTTGTCAAGGGACATAATCTGTGTTAAGGAACATGCACAATAAATGCAGGATATTTTTAGCTACTAACAATATTTAACATTTAACAATAAAAGTTAGTTTATTGAGTGGACAGTGAATGAGGCTGAGCATTGATTTTTTGAAATGAAAACTGCATATTCATCTCTTCTGACCTCTCTTTAATAGAATCAGGATTTCGACCTTCATGTTTTTAAAAATAATATGCTTTGGAAGGTATGCTTTTATCAGTTGTGTTTGTCAGAATAATTGTTTCCTTCTGTGACACTGTGTTGTGTAAATGGTTTTATTCCTATTTAATCAGATCCTTTTTATCTCTCATGATGCCTTCAATAGTCGGAAATATCTCTCTTGCACAGCTGTTATAAATAAGGAATTCATGGCTATATAAGGCATAAAATATAGTCCCAAGTTAATTTTTTGGATCCATTTGCTCTCAACAATATTTATTCAATGGTGATTTGATTCTTATTTTTTTATGGCATATGGTGTGTCACACGTTAGGTTCTTATAATAGTTTAACACTCTCTATTCTACTTTACTGATCAATGTTTCAAAAATTTTAGCCGATAGTTGTTTAAATATTCATCATTTTAACTAGCCTTTATTGAATGTTTGTTTTGTGCCATGTGCTGTGTGAGAATAATACTGTGATGGATTCAAGGTGGAAAGACAGAATTTGTGATTAAAGGAAGCTCACAGTCTGGAGGAAAGGAATAAAACTAATATTTCTTTTCCTTAAGACAGATGAATAGGCCTGAAGACAAATGCATAAACATATGTAATCCAAATGTATAAAACAATGTGATATTTATCTATACTACTTATATGAATCAAATGTTGTGCTTGCACAGCAAGGAAATTGGAATTCTTCTCAGAGGGGGCGAAAATGGGTCTGAATAGTCAGACAGAGTTTAACTCAAAAGTCAGAGTTTTCCAGATGGAAAAGTGGGGAGATGAAGCAATTAGAGAAGGCAGAAGAGCATATGCAAATACAGGAAGGAATAAAAAAGATGGTGTGTTTCGTCTGGGTGTAGCTGGAACATACAGTGTATGGGTTGTCATGAGAAAAGAGGCTTGAAGGTAGGTCAGAACAGGATAGTAAAGAACCTTGCAGATCACACCAAGGATCTTGAACTTTAGAGAGATGGCATTAGATTTCAGTGAAGGTTTCCAAGGAAGAGAGACATGATAAGAATTTTATTTTAGAAAGATCATTCAGTAGATAATGAGAAGGAGAAAAAGGATGTGGGAAAATCTGGAGGCAGGAGACTAGTCTGGAGATTTAACAAGTCTAGTTGCTAGATGATGAGGGTCTACACCAAGATGAAGGCAGCAAGGGAGTGGTCAATAGCTATGACATTTCTAAGATTAGGCAAGTGGGTGGGTGGTGACAACTTCATTGATTAAATATGACGAACTGACCAGATGTCTCTCCTGAAAAGACACTGAGAAGACATAAAAGGAATTAAATAGGTATAAACCCACAAACACCAGGAGAATGAGAGAAGAAAGATAAAAATAAGTCTTGGAAGATGGAAAGGTGACAGAGTAGTAGTAACAGACTGAGCAGAGTAGAGGAGGATGAACTCTAGGGCCTACAGAGAGGGTGCTGGCAAGCAGCAGCCCAGTGTACCCGTACACTCCAGCAAAGTTCAAGACCAGGAAGTACCATGTCCCTAGGAAGTGCCAAAGTACAGGGGGTTGGTTGCAAAACTGTATATGAAACAGTTGGACACCAAGATGCTTTCTTCTGCCCATGCAGCTAGGTAACAATTCATTCTCTGCCCGAGCCCCTCCCCAAGGGAGGGGGGCGTTTCTCTAAAGAAGTCAAACCAGAGAGTGCCCAGGCTTGGGACACCAGGGACAGCAAAGAGTGGGGGAATCGAGCTAGAAACTGGGGAATTGAATGAAAGTCTATATCCTAAATGCTGGGATGCCTCCATTATCTTACCCTGCTCCTTCAATGCAAGAGCCATCTGGGTGACCCCCATGCTAGAGATTAAAAGACTCTTCTGTGGACAAACTGAAGAGCCCCAGAGGAAACCCTCGAGGTAGTCACTTTTGGGGGGCCTCTGTGAAGAAGCTAGCTTACATCCTAATAATCCTGCAGTGAGGTACCCCAATGAACAAGCTCTGCCTAGTTTGTAGGTCTTCTAAACAGGTTTTTAGAACTTCACTTCTAAGTGTGAAAAGAAATCGAAAGAGGGAGAGAGAGACTAAGCCAGAGAGAAGAGAATCTAGAGAACACAGGACAGTAAAAGGAGCAGAAAACTTCAAAAGGAGAACAAGTAATATTACCAGAAAGATAAGATAAGCCATTGTACCCAGAAAACAAGAATGAGATGATGTTAAAATTTAAAAAAAAAAAAAAAAAAAAAAACAAGGACAAATTAGGTTATAATCAACAGCTCTTGGAAATTAAAAACAGGGTAATTATGGCATAGAGTGATTGTTGCTATCCAATCTCCTTAGGGGGAAAAAAAACTACACGATTTTATGTGAAGCAGCAATATGGCCAGCTAAAAAGATATCCACCTGTGAGAATCGCTGGAAAGGTTAGAGAATCAAGTTCAGGGCTATGTAGCCAAAATTAGATGTCAAAGCAGTTTAGTGCGGACACCACTGCTGCAGGCACCAAAGTCTACACACTGCAGCCTGCCTATTGAGCCTGAAAGCCCGGACATTGGAACCAGGAATTTAGTCATCCTGCGACTACCATCATGCTTCTAGAGAGTTCTTCAATGTCCCCCTTTCTTTGGGTTTCCAGTTCCCACTTCCAAGTATAAGGAGGGCTTATCTGATTAACAGAGCCTTGGTCTTGTGCCCGAACTCTGGCTGCAGTAGAGGCTAGAAATTTTTGTTTCGAGTGTGAAAGGCTTGCTTTGCCTCCCACCAGGACTCATAACATTGGAAATTCTTCAAACATAGGGAGGTCACTCAATGCTGGGTAGGCAAAAAAAGAAAAACAGGCAAAAGTCTACTATAATATTGTATCCAAGAAATCTTTTCTCTAGATCCAACACAAAAGTATGATAAAGAGAGGAATTCCAGGACAACAGCCTTGTAGCGGGCCTGAACAACAGTCTAAAGTGGAACAGGATGAGAACCGCAGATATAATAGATTTCTGAAGATCTTGAGCATTTGGAAAGTAACGTTGAGAGGTGTTTGACATATCTGCTGGAAAATTTAGAGGGGAAAAAAATGACAAAAACCAAGCAAATAAAAAACCAAGGCAATTATTAACTCCAGGAAATAGAAAAAGCTGGACAAAAAAAAAGTAATCATAGTATAATAGAGGGCTCAGAGTTAAGCAATGTTCACTTAATCATGGTAATAAGAATATCAGCTATTAAGTTAATCAATAACTGTGATATAATTATACTGGGGACACTGAATGAGAAGTCAAAGTGGCATAAATGAATTCAATCTTCACTTACCATACATAATAGGAAGTGAAGAGATATCTGACAATGATATATCAAGAAGTAGCAATACAATTATATTATTTAGTAACAGTAAGGTTAAGAGAAGAAGCAACATTTTGGTTGAAAGTAGGGTTTTCTAGGGGTGGAGGGTGGAGGAGGATAAAAAGGACAGTATAGAAGAGTAAGAACTACTATTTTTGATTATGTGACTTTTAATTCTACTTGGCTTATTAAACTGTATACTTACTGTTTTGATAAAAATAATTTTTTAAAATTTTAAATGTTCCTATCATTAAAAACTTCCCACCAATTTGGAGGTAAAGAAGGAAAAGCAGGTATGTGGGAGAATGTAAAGCATTTATTTTGAGACATCTTCCATGTTCCTCTGTTTTCTCCTTTTTCCCCTCTTGTCTGTATAGAATTGAAAGGGCAGGATAATGTAGAAGTAAGTACTGGGCTTCATATGCAGGCAGACCTGGCAGCTGTGCAAAGTATCAGCTCTGAAATTTCTCTGTAATTTCATTGGGCCTCAGGGTCCTCATTGGAAAAAGGAAAATTCTAATATCTATTATATTACATGATATAACATATGTAAAGTACTTAAAATATAGAAGACTCTCAAAAATTATGGGTTCTCTCTCAGAATTTCTTAGCCCCTGTAAGACTCTTATTGAGAGTCTCTCTCTCTCTCTATCTCTGTGTTTATAGATCTGAGAAAGCAAAGAAAAACTGTGTTCTTTTAGCGC